CTAGTAAAACCTTTTATAAAAATTACGTTTTATTTACTATTTGAGGACAAAAATAGTGGTTCCTTTTTAAAAAACATCTGGATGATGATGATTATGGTGATGATGATTACAAGTCATTTTTTAATCACCTCCCACTCATGCAGAAGCTTCATGACATTAATATTTTTTACAATGAAATCAAACGCTTTATAAAAAAAAAAGAAAAGAAAAAGAATCCTATTTGAAATCTCCACTTTTTAGCTAAGGCTCAAATTAGTTCATTTCTAAGTTCAAAAAACTGCCTAATATACGAACACATATAGGCTGAGCCATAGATTGAAATAATTCAACAGGGCTATCTGTAGATTTTAAGAGCTATCCTCTTACCAATAAGCCTCAGCTACACTGAATTTCACCATCTGGTCTGTGCTCTCCCATTCACTGAAAACAACACTGCAGCTGTAAACAAATAGTTCATCTCACACACCAGTTGAAATACATGAGAAGAAATATAAACATCTGAAAATTGGGAAGCCAGAACTAGAGATGGTGATTATAGACCTGTCTACTTGTGCACTTCCTAAACCTCAGCTCAGATGATAGATCACCACTTCAGAACAATTTTGTCTTAATCTACTTAAGTATTAGTATTAATAGCTTAAAAGATAGATGTATAGACATACAAAGGGTTTAACATAGAAGATTCATAAAAACCAAACTTAATTCAGTCTAAAAGGAAATATGTCTCATATGAGTAGATGAAAAATGTTAAGATCATAAAAATCAAGAAAACTAATTCATACATCATTTTTATGTAATTATATGTTATCTCAGCAGCGGATTAAATCTTACATACATCCTTTGTCAGGAGAAATCTACTTTATGTTATGTAGCACACAGTGTATAGTAATAATTAAAAACTAAAATTAGAGAGGCCTTCCCCCAACTCCTAATAAGATATCTGTTAACCCTAAAATAAACAGGAATGTACTGTTTCCTCTAGGGCCCCAAATACAACACTACTCCTAGATTAAATAATATATGTCTAAGCACACGAAAAAAGAATAAAACATTTTATAGCTAATACTACTCCCTTTTCTTATATGAGTAAGAGAAATAAATACATTTCATGCTTTAGACTGATGGCTACTAAAAGTCTCCTGAAAGTCTCACCCTTGGGGCACATGAGTTGAAGACAAAAAACAATCATGAGACTCGACAGCATGAACTTTCTCACAATGGTTTTAAAACATTTTTGATTCACAGAATACACTGGCAAACAACAGACCACTTAACATCGGTAAAAAACTGGCATTATTCACATTGTGTTTTCCCCCTCTTTTTATATTTAAGATCATGGAGAAGTCATTAAATCATGCCAGGAAAAAAAAAAGTCATCAAATTTAAAAAAATACTACTGTAATAAAATAGCTCAGAGAATGCCTTTAGGGACCACACTGTAGAACTACTACAGTGAATATACATTTTTGTAATTTGTTTATAATATGTTTAATTGCCTCTGAATGAACAGAAAAAAATAAGATATAAATAAATTATTGGTTTATTTTCCACTAAGGATTTTTACACTACTGTTTAAAAATACCTCCTTTCACTTCCCCCATGCCTGTTGGATAAGTGCAAGTTCTTAGCACAGTAAACAGTGTGTCCTTTAGCTTGATTCCATTTTTTTCTATAGTCCCTTCTCTGAGTGCTCCATCCCTTTTCCAGTTATCATCATCACACACCCTCCACTCTAATCACACCAGACTGTGTCCATTCCCCAAGCCCTGAGCGTTAATTTTTGCATTACAATTGCTCATGATGATTTTTTTCACTAATAATTCCCTTCCTCTCAGGTTTTTCCCATCCTATTCATTCTTCAATACATTGATCAATTGCTACCTGTTTCCTTATCACAAATTGAAATGCTACTTTTTCTCCTCTGCTCGCCCATGAAACTGCTATAAAAATACTTAGCACATTAGCTCAGTTAGTTGAACATGTTAGTTAATTATCTCTCTCACTTATGAATGTGAGCCTTTTAAGATACAGACCTTATCTTACTAAACTGATTCACCGATAGCTTTCTCCATCTCAGCTGATGACAATCTCATTCTTCTGTGCTTCTTGCCAAAACACCTGAAGTCATCCTGAATACCTTTCTCTCACATCTAACATCCAACAGATGGGAAAATCCATTGGTTCTCCCTTCAGAACATATCTAGTACTTCACCAGTTTTACCATGTCCATGATACTACACTAGTTTGAGTGGACATTATCCCTCCTGTGAATTCTTGAAACATCCTCCTAATTAGTTCCCTGCTTCTACATTTGCAGCCATACAATCTATTCACAAAACAGCAACAGGATCATACTTTTGAAATGCTTATTTGATCACACTGCTCTTCTCCTGAAAATCCTGTAATGCTATTTACCTTACAATGGCAAAAAAAAAAAAAAAAAAAAAAACCTGCATAATCTGTACTGCTCCACAAGCCTAGTTACCTGTCTGGTCTTATCACTGGTTACTCTCAATATATTCAGATCATATTGGTCTCCTTGCTGTTTCTCAAAAACATCAGGTATTTTGGTACCTTGACTATAGCTTTCTGTCTTTCTGGAAGGCTTTGCCCCCAAAAATTGTCACCTCAGTTAAATCCTTCCCTTCTTTGATGTTTTCTTAGATGCCACATTATTGGTTAGGGCTATTCTGACCACACTATTTAAAAATGTAGATTCCACTTCTAATAATAGTGAAGTAGCTTATATTGGACCAAACTTCTCACAGAAAACAACTGCAAACTTTGGAAAAATTATTTTAAAAAAATAACTATCTAAAAAACTGGAGTCACTAAGAGATAGATTTGGAGGAGAGTGGACATCTGAAAGAAAGTAATGCCACTGAAAGAGTTTCCCATTTCGGAGGCTTTTTAGTCATAGAACAGCTAGAATTTGGATATAAACCTGCAGTCTTACTTGCCTAAGGAACCAAACAATAAAATTTGGGGCTACTACCATAGTTGAAAATTGAAAGGGATATATCCAGGAAAGGAGAAAGCCACAGGGAGAAAGTAGATTCAAATATTATACATAAATTCTGCCCAAATCTCCGATTGACCCCTTAACAACATGCACCAGAAGTAAACTCCAAGAAGCCCATCTAAGTCTAAGGAAACTGAACAAAGATTGTAGATTTGTTTTACCAAAGGAGAAACCAAGCCTGAAGTCCTCAGTCTGATACAGGCATTTACCAAAAAACTTACAGTTAACATCATACTTAATAGTGAAATACTGAACCTTTCTCCTTAGGATCCAAAGAAGGTCCATTCCCACCATTTTTAGTTAATGTTTTATTGGAGATCTTAGTTAACGTAATAAGATAAGGAAAAGAAAAAAGAGAGGTCATAAAGGAAGAAGTAAAACTCTCCAGTCACAGACAGTGTATTTGTTTGTGCATAATACCCTAATGAATTTATAAAACAATTACTAGAATAAACTCAATTTAGCAAGATCACAGATTATAAAGTCAATATACAAAAACCAATTTTATTTCTGTATATGAGCAACAACTATCAGAAAATAAAATTTTAAAAGTACTATTTACAAAAGCTCACAAATCATAAAACACTTAGGAGTAAATTTTAAAAATTTGAGGATGACCTCTTAAATAAGAACTATAAAAGACTGTTGACAGATGATCTAAATAAATGGAAGGTATACCATGTTCATGGACTGGGAGACTCTATAATATTAGATGTCAGTTCTCCCAAATTGATCTATAGATTCTCTGCAATCACAGTCATAATACTATGAGGATTTTTGTTAGATTCTAAATATATATGGAGATGTAAAGAATTTAGAAT